TGAGACAGAGTCTTGCTCTGTCACCCAGGCTGGAGTATGGTGGTGAGATCCTAACTCGCTGCAACCTCCCACTCCCAGGTTCAAGCAATTCTCCTGCCTCAGCCTCCAGAGTAGCTGAGATTACAGCTATCTGCCACCACGCTCAGCTAATTTTTTGGCATTTTTTAGTAAAGATGAGGTCTCACCATGTTGGCCAGACTGGTCTCGAACTTCTGACCTAAAGTGATCCACCCACCTCAGCTTCCCAAAGAGTTGAGATTACAGGTGTGAGCCACCACGTCCAGCCTAGTTTTTGTTGTTGTTGTTTTTGTTGTTGTTTAATTTTAATGGTTACTTCCAGTCATCATGATTTCTGTTCATATCCTTGAGATCAATTTTGTGACTTCGCCTAAAATCAACTAATCTACTCATGAGTCATATTTCATACTGCAAGCTATAAACTATTCATCTAGTCCAGGGATCATCAAACATTTTCTGTAAAGGGCAAGATAAGTAATTATTTTAGGCTTTCTATGCCAACATGGTCTGTGTCATAACTTCTTAGCCCTGCTGTTGTAGAGTGAAAGAAACCACAATTTATGTTCAAATGACTATGGCTGTGTTCAACTAAACACACACACACACACACACACACACACACACACACACACAGTGGACCTTATTTGACCCATGGTAATAATTTGCCAACATCTACTTAAGTTTTTATTTTTACTTTTATTATGAAAATTTTCAAATATACACAAAACAAACCATATACTATTATTTAGATTTAACCGTTGTCAATATTTGCCATATTTTTTATCTATTTCATTGCTGAATTATTATGAAGAAAATTTCCATCATCATGACATTTCACACCTACATAATTCACATATCTGTAAAAATAAACCTAATATGGCTGGGCACAGAGGCTCACGGCCATAATCCAAGCACTTAGGAAGGTTGGGGGGGGGGTAGACCACTTGAGGTCAGGAGTTCAAGATCAGCCTGGCAACATGGTAAAACCCCATCACTCCCAAAACTAAAAAAAAATTAGCTGAGCGTGGTGGCTCGCTCCTGTAGTCCCAGCTACTTAGGAGGCTGAGACACGAGAATTGCTTGTTCTGGGAGACAGAGGTTGCAGTGAGCCAAGATCGAGCCACTGCAATCTTGGCTCTTTTGTCCAAACCAGAAATCATTACCAACCAGACATTGCATGTGATTGTTATATATTAAAAAGAAAAGTATCTTTTAATCTAAAATGCAGCCCCCAGCTCCCAGACATCTATGTGTGTGGCATTGACTCTTTGAGGAATAGTTTAATTTTAAACAATGTGAACAAGATCTACAATCAATATATCTCATAGGAATATTAATACAGTATAGAGGCAAACACAAAATTTTTATTTATATAATGCCTAACTTATTTACTTCAATTTCTCCTCCATGTTTAAGGTTTTTATCTTATACCTATTTTTTTAAACAATTTGTAGATTTCATTAGGATAATTTAGACACATAAATAAAACTAGAAGTTCACATATAACATCAAAATATAGCTAACAATAATTTATTCTATATTTCAAAATAGCTACAAGAGAAGAACTGTAAGCTTCCCAACACAAAGAAATGATAAATGTTTGAAGTGATGGATGTCGCAGTTGCCCTGATTTAATCATTATAACACTGCAGACAGATGTGAAAACATCACATGCATCCCAAAGATATGTACAGTTATTCCCTACCAATTTAAAAATACTTTATTGCTAAAAGGAAAAAAAAGCACATTCTGAAGAATTTCTCTGAAGTATGAATTCATGCTATGGATGCTATGTAAGTGAAGGTGGATAAAACAGTTACTGTCATTAGGCTTGAGAACTTCTAGATCAATAAAATGTGTTATCTTTAGTTAAACATGCTGATAATTTTGTTTTTCAAAATTATTTTTATAGGGGCTGATTATTTTGTTTTCTTAAAAGGTATTGCAATATTTCAAGCTAAGAACAAATATAGTAACGCAAACAGTTAACATACATTCTGGAGTTTGCAATGCCTTATAAAAAAGAGGAATATCCTCCTCTCTAGAGAATTTTGGCCCCTATGGAAAACTTTGTCAGCTCACCAGGGAAATTCCAGACAAAAAATCACCCCAAATCTCACAAAATTTTCATGAAATGAGAACTGTTCTATGTACGTGGAGGTACACATACTAAACAATGTTCAGAGTGAAGAAAGGAGTTCACTGAGATGGGAAAGAAGCAACAGTGCGCTGAGAGGTTACAGATGAGGTTCCTGGAAGAAAGAAGTGAAAACAATGTGAATACGGAAATGGAACAGTTTGTGTTGCCTATGTTGTAAAGCATCTTAACTCACTGGCATTAGGAAAGAGGACCACCAAGTCAGGAAAAAGGACAGGACCAGCTGAGATAGGAGTACGTGAAGGAAAACTAATTAAATGTGCTAATTGAAAGCTGGAACAAAGATCAAGTTCTCAGTTAAGTAAAGGCATAGAGTAGATTGAATGAGATGAGTTTGTAAAAATGAAAAGGACCTAAGGCTTGGCATAAGACACAAGATAGACAATGAAAGCAATGATGTTTGCACTGTCCGGTATGGTAGCCACTAGCCACATGTGGTTATTTACATTTAAATTAAGTAAAGTTAAATATTCACTTCTTCAGTCATGTTAGCCATATTTTTAATCCTCAATAGTCACATATTATAAGTGGCTACCATATCAGACAGCATAGATAGAGAATATTTTTGCATTGTAGAAAGTTCTACTGGATAGCACTGTTCTGAGGACATTAAAGTGAGCAAGAAAGAGAAAAAGACAGGGAAGGAGGCAAAGGAGAGAAAGTGATTCGTAAACTCCCTCTCCCACTGTGTTTAACATTGGATTGGCTCTCATGTGACTGTCTAGACAGACATTGTTCTGCAGTGTTGAAGTTCTATTACACTTCCTCTCCAGAAAGATGCCTGAGAGATTGCTGCTGCCTTATGAATTCTCTAGTCAGATAGGATTGGTGGAGCAAGGCATTGAGTTAGGGGTGGAGCCAGGTTGGGTTTAGGGAAAGGTATTTTAATAGTAAAGAAGGCCCCCGTACATGCCCAGCCATCATGGCCAGAATACAAGGTGCATAAAACATTGACTTGCCACTGGAAAGCTGCAAGAGTAGGTCCTGTTGTCTCTGGTGAGCAGTGATTCTTCTGTCATTCATGGTCAGACAACCTGATGCTAATATAGTGCTCAGACTAAGTCACAGGTTGAGACAGTCTATTTTACTTGACATTTCTCATTAGAGAAAATTGGCCAGCTCATCTTTCTAAATTTCATTTATTTACATCTGCCATTTCCAATCATAAGCATTCTTATTCACTGCAAATAAACATGGGCAGCCTATCTCCTTCCCTCTACACTCTATGATGAATCATATGAAAATTCAAACCACACATCTTCTTTGCTACAAATCTGTAGTGAAATGACAGCACTCTGTAGACTCTCTGACCTGCAGAGATTTTCTTCCTTTTGGAGACATTTTGAGTAACTTTTTGACCATAATCAGCATCTTATCAGATAGGTCTCTCGTTCCAAGTAGCCATTCCAAACTAGGAGGGCATCCAGTGTTTATGAGCTTCCTGCCACTCACAATATTTATGCTAGACATTGCCAGGGGAAGAGAAGAGAGACAAAAAATATGTCCAACTTCTGCCTTGTGAAGGTTGCTATTTATTTTCACAAACCTCAGGGCTGCATTCAGTTTCCCATCTACATGTGTAGGCAGCCATTTCTTCCGTGTATTCCCTATGTTCTAATTGGCTCACTGTACAGATTCTTGGCTCTGTGCTCGGGAATCGTCATTGACTTTTAACCCACCTCACCTGCAGAGCAGCTTTCTGTGTTTCCATTAGTATTTCAGGCACCGAATCTCATTTTTAAAATTATCATCAGGATTTTAATTGGTGGTTCTCACTATTCACCCTTAATTAAGTTTAGTAACATTTAAATGTTTGTTTTGTAGCATTTTAAAAAGAATCATAAAGAGAGAAAAATAATTAAGGAGAGAAAATAATTCCTGCAGAGGGAAAATGAAGGATTCCTTGGACTTAAGGCTGGTCAGTTAATGGGAATTAGGAATTATGCAGTGGATCTAATAATTGTAAGTATCATTGTTTTACTTGTTTGAATTAATAACTTAAAAAAAACCCTCACTCTCACATTAGCAAACTTTCCGTCTCTTAACAAGTGAAAATAACTGAAACTTTCCCAACATCTACTAAAATGGAAAGTTTGTAATTTTCTACTATGACCTGAGGGTTTGGCTACAAACAGATAATCGAATGAATAAGATGAGGGTTCAAGTTATACCTGCCTATTTAATATGGAGAGAAGTTAAACCACTTGTAAAGACAGCCTAAGGTGAGAAGCCCCTATCACCTGTATAATCCTCCACATTTCTGTTCACTTTAAGTGCCTGCCACCGAAAACCTTCAGTGAAGGAGTGAATCTTCCTTGCCCCATCGAGAGTTGCTTCTCAGGTGGAAGAAGGGTGTGTCCCCAAGTTTTTACCTGGGAGCAATGATGATCTTGTCAAGCATTTCAGTGAGACCAGCCCAAGTTTTTAGGGTGGGGATCCAGACTGGTTATACGTACCTGCAGTCCTTCTCCCAGAGGAAGGCAGAAACACCTCAGAAACGCCTGCATGTAAGAACATCTACTGAGAAATTATTTTAATCAGACACCAGCTGAGTGGGAGAAAGAAAAAGAACAGAGAACAAACAAAACTCCCTTGGTCTTGGATGTAAGAGAATCCAGCAGAGATGGACTGGAGTTTCTTCAGAATAGCTGCAGTGCTGTTCATTTTTCTGGTGAGTGGATTCTGGTAAAAATTCTTCAAAATCATGCTCATTGTAAACAAGTGGAAATATTTTAGAAAATGTTAGTAGACATTATTTCTAACCTAAACCCATTAAAAATGTGTGTTAATGACAAACTGATTTTATGAACTAGATTTTTCAATAGCATTTCACTATTTATTTGAAGATTCAAGACGACATTAATGCATCAGTGTCAACTCATTGTATTACATCTCTGACATTGAAGTTGTTGCTAAGTCATGCTGGGAAAATACTGAATTTAGGAAATTCCTATCACTAGTTAGTAGCACTTTGTGGTCCAAAATCTCTTTTGCAAGAGGGTTTTTAAACTAATCAAGTGTGTCTGGACTTTTAACCTAAATATTTTTTCATTGTTTCAGTATCTTTGGTGTTGTAATTACTCGAATTTTTTAATACATAAAAATAGCATCCACATAATTTAAAATCATAGCAGTTTGTGGCTGGCCTCACTATCCAAATAATCTTGTCAGTTGCATACTTGGTTAGAATCTATACCACTATTATCAAAAGCCCCGCACTGTTTACAATTTTATTTAAAACATTTTTAATTTCAAAAAACGGCAGTCCAGGAGGTTTATAAATGACATATTAAGTGAAGAGGTGGCTATAAAGAGTAAGTAAATTATTATTATACTCGATCTTACTACTGGAATGTCAATGATGATAGCTGTGATACTAAAGTTGTGTACTTGATGGTCAGACGAATGCAATGAAATACTTTATCATTGCCCCCTTACATGTAATTAGTTTTCTCTTTGTAAAGATAATATTAAGTGCACCACTAATGTATTATGTCAATTTCACTTCAGTGAAAATTTGAAAATTGTAATCTCTCTCACAGTAAGGTTAATGTAATTCAAAAAGTCAGGTGCCAAGTAAATTGCCCTCCAGCTTGGCAGTATGTACAGTGTTGTTGCTCACATTTGTTTCTACTTGCTTAATTTTTCAACTGGAATGTTGAGTTGGTATAATAAGTTAGATCTTTGATTCAAAGTATACTGGTTAGTTTGAATTCAGTTTTTTAACTAAGGCAGGATATAATCTGTGGATTTTGCTATAAATAACCATAAATAAGCTGGTGGCTTTAGTTCCAAGCTTCCCTTCAAACATTAGTCCTATCCTATGGACTTTTCAGTTGATATTTACGATCAGTTGATTTCATTATTTAGGATTTGGTAGGGATCACTGAGCAATATACAGTATATCATTTGAAATACAAGACTTTCATAATGTCAATAATCAAATACTTTCACTTAAAGTTTCAGATAAATTTGATCCATTACGAGCTACTATAGTTTTAGTTGATCAGCTTGTTCAGATACAATAACTTTCATAGAATCTCTAAGATGTGCCTTATTCTTCATTTGCTTATTTTTAATTAATTACAGCATATAAAATTTCTTTAAACAGTCACTTTCTACTTACTCATTCTTCAATAAAATGTATCATCATCAATATCATATATCTTTATTGAACTTTCTCTGGCTGTGCCTAGATTTTTTGTTGTTGTTGGTTTACAGGAGGTTTTCAGGAATAGGGGAAGAGGAGGTTACTGTATTTTATATTGAAATCAATCACAACTCTCTCACATGTCTTATGAAAACTATTTCTCAAAGAACTTACACTATAATGAATTACAGTGTTTCATTTTTACATTGACATCATAGCTTTTTTGTGAAACATTTCACTTTTTAAGTTTTGGAAGATCAAAATTTATTTTAACTACTGTTTTTATCACATAGAATGATTTTGATAATTGTCCTTTGGAGTTTCCTAATCTGTATTTTTCTTTAAAATACTTTTTTCTTTATAAAACAACCACCAGTATAGCATATTCTTCTAATTACCTTTCTTCTAGTCTTGTTATAAATGCTTGCTTATACTAAAAAAGAAAAAGAAAAAAATCTATGTAAAGTCTTTATATTCATCTCTACTTGAAGTCAATAAGTGAGAATCTGCATTATGACGCATATTTGTATAATTGTTAAGGCCTTTAAGACATTTAAATTAGTAGTATCTTTAAAGCAAAGAGAACTGAGTATCTGTTTGCAAGCATACTGTGTATTCAGCTCAATGCATCTGAAGGTTGTGAGCTTTGTTCAAATGGGTGGGTTGAATCAGAAAGAACAAAGCTGGACGAGCTGCTCTTACAGCCAAGATTGCTCTATGGCTATCCTATTGTTCTGACAAGTCTCCTGGACAGACAAGAGATTACACCTGCTATAACACTGCAAGTCAAACATATTTTGTTAATTCTGCATCTATTTTGCTTTCTTCTTTTTGTCTCCACATATTCAGTGCATGGAGTAGAGAAGGGAGTTAGAATGTATTTTTTCTAGGCCAGAGAATTATGCTTCCTATGCACCAAATAAAAGAAACCTGTGTGGCCGCAGGTGACAGTGGTAAAAAGTACAGCATGGTCACTGTGAGAAAGCAAAATAGAGCCAGCAGGGTTTCCATGGTTTTAATGATTTCTGAAAATTACTTGCAACTTTACCAGATCCAATTAGTTCATTCAAGTCAACACAAATCTGAAGATGTGTTTTTCTAAAAAGGCAAATTTCTGTAGCTCAAGCTCAAAGGAGAGAGAAAATAACTTTTCTCTATGACCATAAATGATCTGATTACTTCAGTTTATCAACCTATTCCCCCTCTTTCTATGAGCTAATATTTCCAGAGCAAACAAACAAAACACCAACCATCTGATCACCTGATAAACTAACTCCACAGCTTGAACCAAACTGAAATTCTGTAAAATATGAGCAGGAGTTTTTAAGAGCACTTTCAGCACTCAGGCTAAAATACACAGTAAATAATATACATTTTATTGCATAGCTCCTAAACTTAATTGAAGACATCTTAAGTCCCCATAATTGTGTTCACAGGTGCCTAAAGCAAGAGAAAGACTATCAAACTAGAACAGACCAAATGGAAGACAAGCAAAAGAGAGGGTCCTTTGTGCTTTCTTGAGCATGTATTATAGTGATGCATATCATAGAGATTAGTTTTTCAGTAAAATATTTTCTAGAAAATGGAAGGGGAATATTTTTGTTCACGTATTCAGTGAAACTTACAAATTGCATTCAAGTATTATCATTAACATTCATATGGTATTCATAAAACCTTTATCATTCCGCTGCAGATTTAGGATTAGCATCTTCTATCACCTTTACAGAAACAGGGAGGACAAATTTATCATCGCTCAATTGGTTTGAGTTGCCACAGAGCAAAAACATTTTGTCATCCTTGTTTTAGGAAAGAGTAGAACCTAAAACACTGAAGAATGCTGCCTTAAATCTGAAAAGCTGACCCTAGGAGTAAGATTCACTTGTTTAACAAATCTTAACAATCTGGAAAAAGGACACTCTCATGTATATTCAGAGCACTTAATTTCTGATAACTCTTTCTCCACTACACATTCATCAAAGACATGGTTGCTGAGTATCCCTGTGTCCTAATAGGCATTGCCTAATATAACAGCAGGAGGCCTGCTCTGCCAGGCATTGCAAGTAGATTTATATGCTCCCTTAACTCAGGGAACACCCTTGCACAGTGCTGGGTCAGGCCACCCTTGCTGATTATGCTTGATATGCAAATTCCTTCAATAGACTTAGGCTGGTCAAATTTTTTTAAATGTCATTGGCTGCTGATCCATACTCTTAATTGGTCTATGAGAATAGGGCACAGTTTTTCATACTTGTCTAATGAGAAACCATATCTCTACAAATTACTAGTTGCCTGTTGCTCATAAAACTACGTGACTGTACGTTATTTGAAGGCAGGTTCTGTGTTTGATTTGCCTTTGTATCACTTATAGTGCCTTGCACTAGTGCAAGATTGCTCAATAGATGTCTCACCACACACAGCAGAGGTACCACAGGAAGTTTTGGATAATTTATACTACTCTTCCCCCACGTAGTCCAAAAAATTATCACGCTATTAAACACAGAAATCACAATACTAGATTTCTTCAACATTTTAATGGTATAGCATTAAATTCACTTTGCATTTCATCTGAGGCTTACTATAATATTTTTAGGCCTTTAAAAGTCTTAATCTAGCACTGGATCCACATAATAGACATTCAGTGTGTACTTGTAAAATAAACAAATGAAAAGAATAAATTAGAGAAATCAACCCATTGAGATGTTGTCAACCCCAGACTGTGATACCCTTTGTCAGAGCAATAAAAAAAAAAAAAAAAAAAAAAATAAGAGGAGCTTTTTAAATAAAGAAAATTGTGATATTTTAGCTTTGTTTCAAGGGCTTCTTTATGATGTATATAAAAATTAACAATTACATTAGACTTGAATGCTTAACAAAAAGTAAACACTTATGTTAGAATTGAATGCTTAGCAAAAAGTGACTTGGAAGACCATCTCACAATTATTAAATGCAAGAGATGTTTTTAAATTAAAATGGCCTGTTACTCTCAAACCCATTTTTATTATGTGCAAAGAAGCATGAACTTCAATATTAAAAAGAAAAACATTAAAAATTACTATAATTGGGGATTTATTAAAATTAGCCTGCAGTTTTGTCTCCTGTAGCTTTTAAAAAGTACATAAATTGATTGGTTCCTAAAACAGAAATGAAGAGAAAGCCCATTGAAGATGCATTTCCGGTGAATTATTTACTGTTTTCATAGAATTTTAGGACTAGAGGGAACTTTCAGTCTCATATACAACTGAGGAAACTGAGGCTGATTTAATGACTTACCTCAACATCCAACATCCATACCCACTCGGCAAGGTAGCTGAGATATACTCAGTCAGATATACTGACAATCCTTGTGTTCATCTCTAGGTAAATCTCCATTACAGACTCCATAGCACACACTCCAAACTCATTTCTCAATCCAGCTTCTCCCCTAATTGCCAGAAAATAACCTCCCCCTTACTGCAGGGACAAGGTCTAGGTCATTTAGGAGAGTGTCTTCCAATTTCCGATTCCTAATTGATTGATTTTAATCTCCATCCACCTCACTCTTACTGCAGGGAGAAGGTCTAGGTCATTTCAAATAATGTCTTCCAATTGCCCTTTCCTAATTGATTGATTTTAATCTCTATCTTTCCTCTCTTCCTTGCCTTTGTTTTTGAAGTCCTTTCTTTTTCTGCCCATTCTCCCCTTCTCTTTTCATCACGACACCTCTATAAGAATCTTCTTTCTGAACATCTCTTCTTTTAAATCAAAACCTCCTCCTAGTCTCTAAAAATCCTTAGGTTCCTCTTACTCAAAAAAATGTCCTTGAATGCTATATCTAGGTCTACCATCTTGTCCCTCTGTTCCCTTTTATCACCAGTATCTTGAAAAAGTGACCATCTTTATGTCCTCCCCTCCACCTCTTACTCCCTAATCCCTTGCTGTCAAGCAGCTGCATGCTCCATCCAGCTAAAAATATTCTCTTGAAGGTCCTTCAGAACCTCAGGATTTCATCAGAATTCACCTGCCTAACTTTTCTATATCATCCCTTTCAACGCCATCTGTCTTTCTATTTTCCTTTCCTGTGGCCTCAATTATAATGCATTATATTTTCCTATTGTTTCTTTCACCACTCCTTCTCTCCTTTCTTTTTTTTTTTTTTTTTTT